TAGATTGCACCCAAGGCTTCGTTATTCCTAATCCCGCCTTTAAACCCGCAATTATAGATTCCTCTAATAATCTAGGAGTGGTGTTGTTCAACAAAACCCTAAATATGCACTATTTTCCAAGTTATGCACACTAAATAGGCACAGCTAATTGAGGATCCTGTCAATTAACTACAACGAACACGAAGTTGAACAAATAAAGATTAAACTAGCAATTTGTATTCACATAAACAAGAAGTTCATCACCCAATAGGTTCCATCAAAGCCTTAGACAAGAAATTTAGCTACTCATAGTTATGGGAGAATAAACTAAACTTGAATTCATCATAAAATCAAAAGAAAAGAAGAAAGATGTTTAGAGTACTTTTTCACAATTGTTTCCCTTGCTAAGAAACCTAAAAAATCAATATATGCCTCTCTTGGGCGAAGTCTAGTGTTTAAAATAGGGTTTAGGTCTAAAAATCCCGTGTTTTACACTTTGGTCCCCGAAGTTTCTGTGTCCACCGCGGTTCTACCGCGATCGCGGTAGAACCGCGGTAAAATACCCTCGCGGATCTTCAATTGTTCAGAGACTACCTTCCACCGCGGTTTCACCGCGGTCGCGGTGGAACCGCGGTAGACCCTGTATCCGGGCAATTTGGCCTGTTTTGAATGGGTCACTTGGGGAATGCAACAATTAGCTTTTTTTTCATCAATAATTGACTCCAAACTGCTCCTTAGCTTTCCTTACACCTATATCACCTGCAAATCATGAAAAGTACCAATAAGAGCATTTTGTTGTCATTTTTCCACATTAAAGTTCACAAGAAGGTGGTTATTCGGTGCGTGATTATAGTCAAATTCACCTATTATCAGGCCCAAATATTCTTAATCCCAAAGAAGATTATGAAGATGATAGAGACTCTATGTAGGACCTTTTTGTGGACTGGTTCAAATGAGTTCTCCAGGAAAGCACTAATTGCATGGGATAAAATATGTCAACCTAAGTCAGCAGGTGGATTGAATGTGATGAACATGAGGATATGGAACAAGGCAGCAGTCTTAAAACACCTATGGGCGCTTGCTATGAAGAAGGATTCCTTATGGATTAAGTGGGCACACACCTACTACATAAAGAGAAAACAGATTGAAGAGACTCCTACACCCAAAGCAGCAGCATGGGTGGTCAGAAAGATCATGGATGCAAGAGATGAAGTTATGAAAATGAGGACAGATCAACAGAGGATTACAGTCATTCTGGAGAACTTTGTGAAGCAAGGTAAATTCCATATCCACAAGGCATATATCCAGATGCAACCATAATTCAGTAAGGTTGAATGGAAGAGTATTCACATGCACTCCCAGATACATCCCGGATTCCAGTTCCACATGTGGCTAGCCATTAATCAAAGGATAGCAACTGTGGATAGACTCATTAAATTTGGCATACAGTAGCAAGCAGAGTGTATTTTTGTGAAAAGGCTGAGGAAAACTTTTGAAACACTNAGAGAGCTGTGGGACAGGATACTGAAGTGGCTGGGACATACAAGGCAGATAGGTGACTGGAGCCAAGAACTGAACTGGATGAACAACATAGCCAAGAAGAAAGAATATAAGGCAAAAATGACTGTAGCATCTTTTGCAATGGTCATGTACTGTATCTGGCGTGAGAGAAATTCAATGCGGTTCAACAAAGGAAGATACAACATTGATGAAGTTTGTAGAGAAGTGGCAATGCATATACACATCCAAGGAAGGAAGAAGATTAAGTGGAAAAAAGGGTTGGAACTTGTAAATAAAATAAGTAAACTTGCAGTAATTTTTCAAATTAATTAACGCAACATTAGCCTTGGCAGCTGAGTTACCCGGTACCTATGCTGATTGGAGGTAGCAAGTAATTGGTGATACTCAAGGTGTGTGCAAGCTGGTCTAGACACGACCATCATCAAAAACAGAAAGTGACGCAGCATTTAATCTCCAGATCACATACAGTAGACTATAGGAGATGTCACGTCTCTGAAATTGGTCAAAGGTGAAACGAGCAAATAACTGAAAATTAACAAATGAAATAAATCAATCAAAAATTCCTCCCAGCGACTTCATATTACCGCACAAAATTGAAAAGTTACTCTTTACCAACATCGTAAATAGATTTAAAAAAAAAAGCCTGCTCTAGCTTTATATATTTGACGACAAAAAAACCATCGCAAAGGAAATCCATAAGAAAAGGTATCAATTATAAACAACATTGGCAGAACTATATTGGTACTTTATGACATATGAGAAAATCACTGAAGTTCTGCACTGAGGCTGACCATGAGGCACCAGTAAGGTTAACAGGGAGCAAATAAACCACGCCTGATGCCTGTATAAAAAAGTATATCAGAAATCCATTAAGCAACTAGCCCAACTAACAGAGACAAAAGTGCAGCCTGAATCAACTTTCTTTTGCTACTTTTTCTCATGCCCTAATATTGTTTTGTCCTTCTTCCTCGTAATGACCATCATCATATACCTGAAAGTGAGTGTCACCTAGACATTGCACATATGCAAGAGTTCCATTTTAACAAGAAAATAATTTAGCCAAGAGCCTTAGCTGAATGTGACATAGACACATGCACAATTGGTCAATTAAACCACCTCCTTAATGGATTTCTCATCATCATATCCGACCCAAAGTAGTACTTAAGAGTTAGCAGAGTCTATTCTATAAGTTTTTGCCAATGCAGGATCTTCATGTGGATGGAATTCCTGGCATTCACTTCATCTTACCTTGAAATATTAGTCATATAACATATGCCAACAGAAACTATGTTATCAAGTCGTAATGAATATACTGAGATAATATTTTTGCAAAATGAATTTCAACCTTGGAGGAAGCTTTCTTACATGATCAGAGAATAAAGTCAATAAACACATTGTGCTTAGACATGATAAGAACTACTTGGATAGTGATAAATAGAATCTTAACCTTGTCTATCAGCTACAAACCAGTTTCAAACATAAAGTAAAAAGCTGATATGTATGCTGTAATTAATACAAAAGAGAGGGGCATAAGATTATCGATAAAAAAGACAATTGAAGCGTGCGGAGAGGATCTTTGAAAGCTTAGGAAATCCTGTTTCATTTTAACATAATCCCGAGACACATCACTCCTTCTGAATCTGCCAGGTGCCAGCAATGAAGAACTTCTCTAGCACTATTGCATTCTTGAGCAAATATTTTACAAATGGCAGTACAGATTTATTTCCACATAGTGGTCCATCAAAGTTAATGAACTTGATGGTCTTCAGATTTAGCGATGAACAGTTGAAATTATGCGTCTCAAACCTCTTGCTCTGTTCATCCTCATTTGTGTACTCTGACAGTAGGTCCTGCAGGAAAGAATCCGCTATATAAATCAGTTATTCTCCTTAGAGGAAGCAGAGGGCCAGGAGTTGATTTTGGATAAAATAAAAGGTGATGAATTTTTAAAGAACAAAAATGTTTCAAAGCTTAATCTGATCCTTTATCTCCTTGCATAAGGTGGAAAATTTGGGTGGAAGCCGACTCTTTACTTATTGTGAATGTTGTCAAGGGAGTTACAAGACTTTCTTGGCAATACGGACCTATTATTGAAGAGATTAAAGAGTTGATTCAAAGTGAAGATGTCAAGATGACACACTTTAACAGAGCAGCCACTGGTGTTGCTGATCGTTTAGATGGATACAATCACCTATTGGACGCAAATAAGGAGTTTTTCAGCTTTAACTCACTACCAAGAGAAGCTAGAGGGCACTTAAAGGTTGACAACTAGCAGCTCCCTTCCTTCTGAGTTCTACGGAAAGCCCAAAGCTTACCTCCAATAATGCAACGAGATGAACTTCCCAGTTAGTTCCTTCTGTGAGCTCACATGTTACTTGAGAATGTTCCTCACTTTTCTCTTTTTTGGTTCTTATGGAAACAATGCACAGGGGAGCAAGTCTCCACGAGTTACAAGCTATTGTTGTAAAGCTCATCAACTACTTAGGCTATTTAGTTTCACATCGTAAGTAGGAGTCCTCCTCCTATACAGAAACACTCGGTCATGGTTACATGTTAGAGGCTTATCTCCTACATTTTTGTCAAAGATTAACCCTCTCAATATTCTCTTTACTTGAGGATTGAACCGGTTCAATTCTTACCTTTTCTGGAAGAGACAAGCAGTCAAGTCCCTTTTTGTAACTTTTTATCATTATCTATGAAATATACATAAGGTTGCTTACCTTATATAAAAAGAAGTTTTATGATTTTTTTCGTGAAGTACTTAAGTAGGAGTCCTCCTCCTATACAGAAACACTGGGTTTGTTGTTGTTGTTGAAGTAACAGAAATGAAGGCATAAAGGAAACTTACTCTTGGTTCATGACGGTACCAGTCAACCACCAATGTCTCAAGATCTGCTGAACTCTGGAGAAAGCTGCAAATTCCAGGAAAGTCCATCCTTTCTAAGGCTACATTAAATTTTAAGGATTTCCGGCTCGATGGTGGAGATTGCCACCCTTTCAACTCCAGTATGGACAAGCACTTACAAACCAAATAGATAACCAGAGTATGTTAAAACAAGGAAAGGCGACATACTTAATAAATGTCATGAAAATTGCTGAATAATTCGTAAAATAACTTGGACTATAAGACTGAGTTTTGCCACATTAAAGTGTTCAAGGGTGGTTTGCAAATTCAAAGATGGACTTCTAAACATTTGGAAAAACCCCTTCACATGACTTAAAGACTATGATCAAAATAAATCAACCCAAAGTTTCCATGTTCTGTCATAACAAACTCTTTATTCTCATAATTCATCATCTAGAATTTTGCTCAAAAGGTCTTGTTTCAAAACCAGTGCCACTGCCACTGTGCACTGTCCAACCACATTGGCCATGAGAATGTAATTCTTTAGTATTTATCAACTTAGTTAAGGTCTGCATACACACTACCCTCTCCAGACCCTACTTATGAGATTAAACGGAGTTTTTTGTTGTTGTAGTTGTCAGATTATCCTAAGTAGCGGCACAATTAATTACTAAAGTGATGATTTAATAGCAAGATGCTGAATTTTGGATAGGGAAGAGTATGAATAAAACTCGATGCACCAGGGACCCAATTCAAGATTCTCGACATGGGCAACACTGCGAAGAAGTTGCTTGAAATAGCTACACTCCTCCTCCAAATCGTCTTCTTCATTTCCAAAATGAGCAGTTAAATAAAGGACTGCAGTGACAAGTGAAGCCGCATTTCTCTGCCGCAAGTTTATATCCGGGCAGAACCCCGAAAGTTGCAAATGCTGAATATATGGGGCTAATATTTCGAGCTTCCCATCCATGTTCTCTTCAATGATCAGTTTTCTCAGCTTCAAATTGCTGATTTCCAAACGATGAATGCCCGAAACACTATACAGTTCCAAGCACTCCAAGTTAGGGCAACCAGATAATACTTCTCCCATTATACCACCTGTCAATTCAAGGTCCCCAATTGAAAGAGAAACGAGCCTACTCCAGTTAACACGGCCAGGAGGGCTCAATTTGCAGCCTCTTAAAACCAAATTCCTCAGCGATGTGTTCTTGTATGCAAACTGAGGAAACTCATATAAGTAACCACCATAGCAAATTTCAAGTGTAAATTCTTCAACATTAGCAACTTTAGTTGCAAAATGTACCCATAAATCGATATCTTTAATATAACTCTTCTCGTACTTATAGAGACTAACCCTGAACTTTCGAATTTTCTCGAAAGATCTCCAATAATGAAGCTCTCTATTGACGGAACCCACAAAATCACGAATTCCTTTTTCGCTGTAACCAAAGGAGAGGTCGAAATCGAGCGATATTGGGACGGACTTCCAAAGAAACCTCCATCGTTTAGATAATACGCTGCTTCTCACAACTTCTTTTCCCTCTGGCAACATAGAGAGGATGTGAAGTAGAACTTTGTCGGGTAAATGACTGAGTCGGTCTCGATCTCCTCTCGCCATGATTTTACTCTGCATTTCCATAGTGAAGTTGACGGAACTCTGCTGTTTGGTAAAGCTGAGGTAGAATTAGGAATTTTAGTCTGTTAAGAAATGAGATCGTTAGGAAAGACTACCGCTTCTTGTCATAGCAACATATTTTAAAACCTTTTGTGTTGAAATCATGTTCGTGCATGGAGGGTACAGAGATTTCTATCTAGTAAATAAGAAAACTATAAAATTGAGAATATAATATTTTTTATGATTGAGAAAAGCAAGAGCCCAAACTCTTATATTCTTTCTTGTAAATGCATATTGTACAAATAACTATAATTATTAATGAAATTATAATTTGAACCAAATCATCAATATATTCTTGAGGGACAAAAAGTGCATGAGTAGTTAAATACATACTCTCTCTCTCTCTCTCTCTCTCTCTCTCTCTTATATTCCATTGTAAATGTATATAGTACAAATAACTATAATTATTAATGAAACTAAAATTTGAATCAAAATCATCAATATATTCTTGAGGGACAAAAAATGCAGGAGTGGTTAAATACTCTCTCTCTCTCTCCCTCGGAACTTGAACATGAACCTTTAATTTTGTTATGTACTAATGTTTTAATTTTATTTTTATTGATAATTTTCTTTCAATCAGAAAACTAGAAAATTATATATATATATATATATTTTAGTTATTTGTTAATCGAACTTTTGTTTATAAACTCAATTTAAAGTTAAAAATTAAAAACTGTATTATTTTAAACATGCATTTATTGAGATGCTTATTTAGTGAGTAAGTGCAATATACTAAAGAAAATGACACACACGTTAAGGACAGAAAGTATTTACATACCATTCAAGTTGAGAAAATATTAGTTACAAATCTAAAATAAGAAATGAACTAAAACTAATCCTATATAAATCCTATAGTAAAAAATATGATTATTGCCTCACAGTAATTGCTCATCCATTTTGCTAATTCTTAAAGCAGAACATGAGAAAGAAAAATTAAAGAAAAAATCAGTTAACAAAATATACTTTAAGAAATAAAGGAAGCAAAAATAATTGCGTTAAATCCTAAATTAAAAGTAATTAAGTACTATATAGTAAACTGTTTTATTTCTTTCCCTCCTATGAAGATGAGACTTTTATTCCTTAAGTTTTAAAGTATATTTGAACTCTATAAAATGACCGATTCCAATTATCTACAACACAACGTAGTACATAAATTTCACACTAATATATATATATATATATATATATATATATATATATATATATATATATATATATATAT